TTACTCTTAATCCAATGGATTCCAAGTAACCAACCCCCAGTCTTGATTAAGACTTAGCAGGGGAATAAAAAGAGATAGACAAGGCACATCGCCTAGTGGAGCACTATCCATGAAGTCGGAATAGAGGCACATCACCTGGTAGGCCATTATCTGATGAGTTTGACTATCAGAGGTAACTATTAACGTGATAGTTTTGTGGACCCGCCATCCTACTTGAAGAGGATTGGTGGGGGAATTTGGAGGAAAAGGACTATCAGAGGTGACAGTTAACGTGATAGTTTTGGTGGACTTCGTGGTTGACAGAGGGATTCTGTTGAACATGACAACTCAGAAAATTTATTATTCATAATCCAATGAACTACAAATAAACCAACCCCCAGTCTTGAACAAGTGCATGGGGGAAGGGTAGACGTGACACATTGCCTAGTGAGCCACTGTCTAACGAGTTTGACTATCAGAGGTAATTGTTAATCAACCCCCAGTCTTGATTGAGACTTAGCAGGGGAATAAAAAGAGGTAGACAAGGCACATTACCTAATGGGGCACTATCCATGAAGTCTGAATAGAGTCACATCACAGGGTAGGCCATTATCTGATGAGTTTGACTATCAGAGGTAACTGTTAACATGATAGTTTTGTGGACTCGCCATCCCTATTGAGGAGGATTGGTGGGGGAATTTGGAGGAAAAGGACTATCAGAGGTGATCATTAACGTGATAGTTTTGGTGGACCCGCCATCCTATTGAGGAGGATTAGCTTCAGTGGCCGTAGTATCTTCCGGTTCTGACTGAGAAGAGTGAGCTTGGTCTGAAGGTTGGGCTTGGTCCGATTGCTCAGGTTGATACTGCCTACTTTGTTCTTCAGCTTTGATCCTGGCAATAATCTTTTGAGCCTGTTCGACTTGAGAGATTAGTTGTCTCCAAGAACGGCATTCTGCAACCCCTATTCGGGCTAGGAGGTCGGTCTGCAAGTTGTGTCGACAGGTCTCCACTAGTGTAGACTGTGTCATACCTGTCGGACATCGCAGAGCCATGTTTCGAAACCTTTTGACGAAGGCTTTGACGGACTCCCTCTTCTTCTGCTTAGTAGCAAGAAGGGTATGGATGGAGACTTCTGTATCCTCTTCAAAGAATCTTGACAGGAAGAGTCTCTCTAGATCCGCCCACTTTTGGATACATCGAGCAGGCAGTTTCCTGAACCATTCAAAGGCAACTCCCTTAAGGGTGCCAATGAACAATCGAGCCAGTATGGCATCGTTTGATATTACATTCCCAGTCTGTGACTTGAAATGATAGATATGTTGGTTCGGTGATCCCGTGCCGTCAAAAGCTTGTAGCGTCGGGACTTCAAATTTTGGAGGATAAGGGGCTGCGTCCCATTCGGCAGGGTAGGGCCTGACAACTCCCTCATCTTGGAGCTCGCTTCTGTTAGCAATGACATTGAGGCGTGCTTCCAATTCCTCGATTTTAGCCGACTGAGGATTTTGCTCATATTCCGTCTCTCTTCCTTCATCAGAGGAAGATTCTAGGTTGTGGGCTTCTTGGTCAGAAGCCGTGTCATCAACCATCGGTCTTCCAATTCCTCGATTTTAGCCGACTGAGGATTTTGCTCATATTCCGTCTCTCTTCCTTCATCAGAGGAAGATTCTAGGTTGTGGGCTTCTTGGTCAGAAGCCGTGTCATCAACCATTTTCCCCTTCCCTTTGCTTGTGTGAGGTCGGGACGAAGACGTTCTTTCCCTTCGGGAAGATTCTTGCCTGAGTGGCGAATCTGTCTTCTGAGATTTGGCCTTGTCTGCGACAAGTTGAGTCAACAGGGCCAAGAGTTCATTGATGGCCTCCTGCTGAGATTTGAGCATGGCCTCTTGCTCATCAAGTCTCTTCGCGAGATCTTCATGGTTTCCCGTCATATAAGCGTAGCTCTCATGTTCAACAAAAGAGCTTGATGACTGGGACTCTGCAATGGCTGAGTGTTCGTCATCGGAATTAGTTTCTCTGGCCAAACTCCGATAGTTGACAGGGGGAATGGCTCCTGTTCGAGTCCGAGTACGTTGGTAGATTCCTTCAAACTCGTTAGTGATTTCTCTGACGCTTGGAGAACGATCTGTCTCTGGCTCGTCAGAACTAAGGTTTGATGATCTTCCTCTGCCAACCATGTTAGAAGTGACTCCAATGTATTCATCCTCTAAAGTCTTCTTCCTGTGAGGATGTCGTCGATTATTGAGCAAAACAACATTCGTCGGTTGGTTGAACATCGACAGCAATTCCCGCAAGTCAGAGACTTGGGATGAACCTCTCACAGAGCATGAGGGTA